TATGCATCTATCTTAGTCACTCCGGAAGGACTTTTCTTTGTGGTGTTAACTAACACAAGCATCCTTCCGAGACCACTACAATCTTAGCCACTTCACGTCTAGAGTCAATAGTGATCTTCATTTTCTAATTCCTCCTCTGACGTTCATATCACACACCTCATTTAGTGACTTTCTACCTTGTGTGGCTCTTGGGCCTTGTATTGGGTGAAATTTAGTAAAAGAAATCGTTTTTGGTTTTTCCAATTTCAATCTTGCTAATCCATTTGTTTTTGTTGACTATAAAATGGTGGTATGATGTTCTGGTTTTTTTTTGTTCTTAACTATGACATACAGATTATCCAAAATGCCATGTCCCTTCTTGACGAAGACAGTCGTAACTCTCTAAAGATTCCTTTCTTTATTATCTGAGAAATGACAAGAATTCTTGGCGAAGATAATAGAATGATTTCTGTTACCTTCTTCACGATTTTGAATTCACATTTTCGTTCTCCTAGTTTCGCTACTACTCAAAACTATAGAGGCCCTTTAAATCATATCTGGGTTGGAAAGAAGAGATTGATTCATGATTTTCCATGGTCAGTAGTCCGAAAGTGAATGCAACAGTCTAAACCGAAATTTGCATTTAGCTCATCGATTCCGCTTTACACGTCATTAACCGTTATACATCCCAATCTATCTACAGATTTTTACTAATCTGTATATATATATATATATATATATATATATATATATCTGTGGACCTTTGCTCTCTAAGCACTGGCTGGATGTTTTTCTTTCCCTTTCTATATTCTTGCATTCATTGGTTAATTTTTCAACTCGTGCTTATCCTAGAAAGCAAACTCGGTATTCCATTGTATCGTGTTTTATGAGTTTGCTCTGACGAATTGACTTTTATTATATGCCATAACCCTTCAGGGTATGAGCAATCGTGGCTCCCCACAGCATCCTATTCCTTGTACCTCTAAGCAACGTTTGAGACTTGAAGCAACAGAAATGTGATTCTGCTGAAGGATGCTGAGGATACCATGAACAGAACAAGTGAGCAACGACGAAGTTTTGGAGAAAATGGAAACTTATACTTAACATCCGGAAGTGACAGTTGAGATTTCTGGGGCAGATAATGAGGGAGGTGGGCTTGGAAAATCTGACACTCAGAGGACAGATTAAAGAGGGAAGAGGGACAGAGAACGCATAATATAGCGAGCTTGAGTAAATGGATGGTGGATCAGGACTTAGCAGATATAACAGAAAGACAAAGTTTATTAAAAGCTACAAAGGACATGAAGTTGTGGAGAACCATGATCGCCTACGTCCTGAGGGGACAGGACACATAAAGAAGATTATGTAAGCTGGGGAGACACGGACAAAGTTTAGCCTTGCACGAACGTATAAACCTTAGTAAATCTTGGTAGGTTTTTAGTTCTCTTTGGATCGTCTTCCTCTTAGATAAATATCGAACTGACGGCTCTAACCATGATATGTAAGACTCGCTTAGCATCTAATTCAGCAGGTGAGCCATAATCGTCAGAAAGAAAGAAAGAAAACCGCTCCTGTACATCGAATGAATATTTGAGAACACTTTGTATGGCGTAGAAAATAGAGGTGCAGAGTTAATTTCAACTCGGAACTAATTTCAACTCGGAACTAATTTCAACTCGGAACTAATTTCAACTCGGAACTAATTTCAACTCGGAACTAATTAAATCTGTGAAGTTTTCAAAAGAAATTAAAATTTAATTTATTGATTTTCTTAAATTTTGATCAATAACCGCTTTCTTTTGAACGAGAGTTTTTTACGAAAAAATCAGCTAAGCAATCTACTGTTCTCACTACAAAGAACATTGCATTTTTATTGGATCAGATTTAAACGAATAAAAGTAAATAAAAAAGTACCACTTTATTCATTTGCAACAAAAAAGAATGAAAGTTGCTGAAAAGATGAATTCTGAATTGTCTTATCTGCTCAGGATTTTTAATTCTAAATTAAAAAATCAACACCAACTGATTGCATTTTGTTTAAGAATTCACGGAAATTGATAACTTCCATTTTAGTTCCGAGTTGAAATTAATTCCGAGGTCGAATTAGTTCCAAGTTGAAATTAGTTCCGAGTTGAAATTAATTCCGAATTGGGATTAATTCCGAGTTGAAATTAAATCCTAGTTTAAATTAATTCCGAGGAGAAATTACTTCCGAGTTTAAATTAGTTCACGGAAATTGATAACTTTGATTTTAAATTGAGTTGAAATTAGTTCCGAGTTTAAATTAGTTCTGAGTTGAAATTAATTCCGAGGTAAAATTAATTCCGAGGTGAAATTAGTTCCTAGTTGAAATTAATTCAGCGTTTCAATTAGTCGAAATTAGTTCCAAGTTAAAATTAGTTGAAATTAATTCCGAGTTAAAATTAGTTCTTAGTTGAAATTAATTCCTAGTTGAAATTAATTCCGATTTTAAATTAGTTCTGATTTTAAATTAGTTCCGATTTTAAATTAGTTCCGAGTTGAAATTAGTTTTGTCACACAGAAAATATGTTGTTATCTCAATACAACTGAATCCCGTTGATTAGCAAAGGAAACCAAACCGTAGTTTAATGATTAGCAAAGCCAGTTGAGTAGATCTTCACCAGTACAGTGAGTTCAATCTGTACTGGATATACATTAATCCTGGTGTATCAACCTTTCAAATGGGAAGAGTTTACTTGAAATGAAATGGTAATATTACTCATTTCCTTATAAGGAAACATTCGGCATTCATCGACCGAGCAACCAGTGCTACTTTCTATCAAAACAAGTTTTCAGAAAAATAGGTTTCTCAGCTCCAGTAACTGTTATCGCTCTTTCCAGTACTGATATGTGTTTTCTTCCTAACCTTTGTTTGAAGTCGTATGGAACTTCAATATCTTGATTATGTAATCATTTTCTGTTCGCGTTACATGTGTTATCCATTTTGATGCTGCTGTTGAAAGTTCTCAAATAATGTGGTTTCTGTTATTTGATGCAGTTTTTTGTTACAGTTAGATTTAGCTAGTTTAGCTAGTAGTACGCTTAAATTAATGTGGTTGAGGTAGCAAGGATAAAATTTCTAGCCCTCAATCACAGGTTCTAGATTAGAGTGACAAGACTGTGCATTACTACGTTTTCTAGTATTAATGGGTGTTTCTTTCCTAACCTTTTGTTTGAAGTCATGTGGAACGCCAAGATCTTGATTATGACATTATTTTTTCTTCGTGCTATGCATTTTGATAATGCTGTTGAATGTTCTCAAGGAATGTTTTCTATTATTTGGTGTAGTTTTTTGTTTGTGATTCTGTAGCGTCGAAGAAGGATAGTCCTCGCTAAGAGGACTCGATCAATCACTCGAAGCTAATTTTATTCATTGATCTAGGAAAGCGGTTATAAGCACCTGACAGTTTAGATATTTACCTGGTATCTATATGAAAGTCTCGATCTAACGCGGCTATTTAAGAACAAGACTCGAGTTTGTAGGTTATGGTTTTAGTTTTGCAGCAATTTACGGTGTTGGGCGAGACGACCCCTATGACAGCCCATTCTCGAATTAATTCCTTTATCCGATACTAAATTTGTTATAACCGATCTATACACAGCGGCCATTTTGGGAATAAAAAGTAGTTTTATATACCATTAAATACGGTATCTTTTTAATAATAAAATTTACACAATATGAGGCCTTAGATCTACTCACGACAGAGAGTTACTGTTAAAATGATAATGATGAATAACTCACATGACATAAATAAAAAAAGCGATGGTAGGAAGTAAGAGATTTTCTCCTACAATCCATCGTGCTCCCTCAGAACATGGGCGATAATGGCTATTCACAAATTCCTATCCCTTGTAGCACTTAGTAACTTTGTCTTTTTGCCATCCCTCGTTCCGCTATCCATTCACACAAGTTAATCAGATTATTACCACACTTGTCTCTTGCTTTCGTTATGTTGTGTGAATGTCAAGTTCTCCAAACCTTCCTTCCTCGTTCTGTCCAAGTATTTTCTCATACTGTCACTTACTGATTCTGAGTACAAATGTCCTGTTTATTAATATTTTCTCTAAGACTTCTTCGTTCCATCATGGTATTCTTAGCATTCGTCTATAGAACAAAATTTCTATCGCTTCCAGCATTCATCCATGAAGAGATTGTCGAGCATTCACAAGTCCTGGATAAAACTACATCCGACAGCAAGGCCTTCTGATTGGGAGATTGGAGGTTTTTGTGGATCACGGAACCATCTCTTAATTACTGTTTTCCCAGGTCCACCCTAACCCGGGGTGGTAGCACCCATTAGGGTCCCAACTATGGGCAAATAGTGAAAACCCAAACAAAACCAACATACTATGAAAGTATAAAAATACATTTTCATAGTAAAAATAGCAACGATACACTTTTATATAAAAAAAAACAATACCCATTTATAAAAAATTAGCAACAATACATTTTATATGTAGTCAAAGGCATACAACTGCGTTCAAAATATATTTAGCTGAAGCCATAAAATTGATCACATTATTTACATTTCGGCATTAAATAACTCGTAGAGGTTGATATGCCGCTAAACAAACTCAACCAACCAAACAACCAACATGAAAGAACTCTTTAATAACATTAAGCCATATAATATCTGACAATTTCTTAAATCAACCTGTATTCCACAATATAACTTCAACAAAGCTATAACATAAAACACACATCATTCCTCTAATAATCATGTCCACACAAACATGTATATGCACAAAAGACGAATATCATCTACCATGTATTCAATTGTGAAAGCAGAATAACATATATTTTTATTACTTCACAGCTCTCCCAAAATTTAAATTTTGGCATTAAATGACCCATAAGGAGTTGATATGCTGTTAAACAAACAAATGAATCAATCGATCGAGTATTCACTGCCATATAATCGGATTGACATTACATAACTGTTCATTATGAGGATATTGTTTTCGAAAGGCTTGAGTCATATTGGGACACTTGGAAGAGGATGTTGGTTCAATTATCTATCTATCTATCTATCTATCTATCTATCTATCTATCTATCTATCACAGCCTGTTCATATATATCTATCTATCTATCTGTCTTATCTGGGCTCAGATACGAACCACGAGCGTAAATTGAACATATGTAACTATCTCAGTTATTAGGCTTAATCTTGAATCTATTTTTGACAGGAGGAGATGATGACTGGAACTAGATTAGTCTGACACAAGGTTCAGTGGGAGGAGCGAAATAGACTGCATTGTTTTTTGGGTTTTTTGATTTTTGTTTGTTTTTTTCAAATAAGAAAGATCTAACTTGAAAATAAGCATTCGAAATCCATGAGGAAATATGGCTTGGAGAATTCAACACGCACAGAACATATTCTAGGCAAGAGAGGGACAGAGGAAAGAATCGAATAACCTACCCAAGGAGCTTGTGTAAACAGTTGATAGCACAAGGATTAGGAAGGATAGCAAAAAGATAAACAAAAGATAAATCTTACAAAAGATAGGAAGTTATGGAGAGCCATGATTTCCTACACCCTGAAAGCCACAGCATATAGAAGAAAACCCGTCAAAAATGGTGAGATTATTTGGATATTGATCGGACTTCACCTTATCATCAGATTGTGTTCCAACTATGATCAAAGTGTTGCTCCCCAGCCTTTGTGTTAGAACAAAAACATAATATCTATCCTATCTTCATCTAAAAGTTATGAAGGATGCTTCGTCCCGGGGATTCCATTCCTGTGACAGAACCTTCCTCATTTCACTAAATATTGATTTCTTGTTATACACAGTGGGCGTACAGGTGCATAGAGTAAGAAGGCTTTTTCGATAGACTCCATCATATCACCTCAATGGATGCATTCTGGTAAAACAACTTGTCCAGCTTATTAAAAGATTTTCGTCGTTCCATAGCCTTCAAAAAACGTACTCAGTGGGCGTACATTTGCAGAGTGTAAGAAGGATTTATCGATAGACTCCATCATATCACCTCAACGGATGCATTCTGATAAAACTATTTGTCAGGCTAATGAAAATGTTCCAGATCTGTAGCCTTCAAAAACAGTACACAGAGGGAGTACAGCTGCAGAATCTCAGAATGCGTTCTCCATAGGCTCCATTATATCACCCCCAACGAATGCATTATGTAAAAGAATTTGTCCTGCCAAGGAAAATTTTCTCCGATCTATAAGCTTCAAAAACAGTACACACAGGGTGTACAGATGCGGAGTGTAAAACACGTTCTTGATAGACTCCATCATATCACCTCAACGGATGCATTCTGGTAAAACAATTTGTCCAGCGAATTAAAAAAATTTCGCCGATCTATAGCCTTCAAAAAACCTACAGAGAGGGCGTACAGCTGAAGAGTGCAAGAAGGCCTTATCGATAGACTCCATCATATCACCTCAACGGATGCATGCTGGTAAAACAAACTGTGCAGGCAATTAAAAAAATTTCGTCGATCTATAACCTTCAAAAACCCTACGCAGATGGCGTACAGCTGTAGTGTGCAAGAAGGCCTTCTCCATAGACTCTATCATCTCACCTCATTGAATGCATTCTCGCGAAACAACTTTTCCAGCAAATAAATGACTTTTCGTCGATCTATAGCCTCCAAAAAGCCTACATAGAAGACGTACAGGTGCAAAGAGTAAGAAGGCGTTATCGATAGACTCCATTATATCACTTCAAAGGATGCATTCTGGTAAAACCATTTGTCCAACCAATTAAAGAATTTTAATCGGTCTAGTGTGAACCCCGAATAATTATACAAAAAAATGAGGTATAATCGTTTTTACCGAAGCATCTCCGCCATATACCCCCACCTTTACAATCCGAGCATCTCAATGATAGCCTCTTGTACCCGCTTTAATAAAAAATTAAAAAAAAACTAGATAATATGCCTTTCTTGACAAGAGCCAGTTGCCAGTGGTCAGTCTTCATTCGAAAGAAGGCCCTCAAAGCATATCCACATTCGCGATAGAAGAAAAGCTTTTTTTTCGGAACAAGCTTCTGAAAACCACAAGCCCTTTTATGGCATTTTTCGTCAAATATATAGTGTTATCATCTTTCGTACACATCCGAGCCTAGAAAGTTAACCATAAACTATACGGACTTACATCAATATTCCGAATCCCCAGACAGCTGTTCTAATGCAAAAAATCTAGCGACTCACCGTATATCCCCCGTGACACAAAAATAGTCAAAACCAACCTGTCTCTAGGTCTCCACGGAAGCAGAATTACTGAGAGGGGGCCAAAGAATGAGGTGGGGTAGATTTACGAAACGTATGCCTCAGAAGGTAGGATTCTTTCGATATTTCAAATTAACTGCGACCAGTACCACCGACCAATTTTTCTCCAGTTAGATATTGGGACCTCACCAAATACCGTATCTCTTTCCCGACCCGTCCATCTCTCCAAGTGAAGGGGGTCAGGGAAATGAGAATCTATTAATGAGCTCAAGCGCAAGCCAACGGATATATCGGGGTTAATTTTGGTCCCTCCTATTCTCTCATACAGCAAAATTACTTTGACAACTTTTTCTATATCGGCATTACTACTTACAAGCACGGGGATATCGAGGTGGTAGCACCAGGTAACGTGAGTGTGTAGAACTGGTTTCGCCCCCAATCTTCGGAGGAAAGGTTCCAGCAGAAGGACTTACGGGATGATTAATAGCGTACAACCCTGAGGAATAAATCAATATGAAATGTTTTAATTACTAAGCTTAGATTAGTTTTTCACAAGTATGGGGCACCCAGGGAGAATCGAAAACACTATTCAGTAGATATATCCAACCAAACTAGCTTCGTTAACCATTACCCCACACCGAGGAAACCTCATAGCTGAAGTAAATATGTAATTCCAACCAATATCAGAAATCGATATTTCAATCATCAGCTTGGGCTGATGGTTAGCAAGCTAGACTCGTTAGATCCGTTACGACTGAGCAGAGAGTTCGATCCACACTGGGTGCTCTATACCTTCGACTTTGTAACACATCCAAGCTATTCTTAATAAACTACTATTTCAATCCTTGATTTTTGAACGTACATAAACAGACAGACAGACATAAACAGACAGACAGACAGAACCGCCCCAGTTAGAAGAATGGTGTAATACATTATTTATTTGCATTAAAATACAAAATGTGGCACGAGGCCTAAAAAGGGGGATGGGGAATGACGGTCTTCTTCTGTTTTAAATCTAAAACTTAGCTAGTCGCAGACACTGACCCAAACATGCAAACAATATTCCAATCACCAAAACAACACATTCACTCCTACCTTTCTTACTACGTCCACCATAATACCTCAAATTCTCTATGAAGTCCTAACTAGTCCCCTTATATACAAATAATGTTCATGGGGGGGAGGGTCATAAAATAACAAATTTTAAAAATATCCCCAAATGAATATTTACAATGTGTCTTAAATATTTACAATAAAACTAAACAAAAATGTTTTAGTAATAAAAAAACCCACAAACCATGAATGTGGCAGAAACATCAGTTAACCGGACGAAATCAATGCGGGACTATGAAAAAATTAGGAAAAACATTCAAACCTCCAAGCATTCACACAGGCACACACACATTCAAACACAACAACAAATACGAAAAAAAAAATCACCCATACGAAACGAAAGGCGCCCCGCATCCACCAGAGAACTGACATCACTAACCACCTAACGAGGGAGGGGATGGGGAATTAAACAAAAGAAAAATAGGGACAGAAATAAAAGGGACCAATGAGCATGCATACCCTAGCTAATATCTGGGTGAGTTGCCTATGTTCAACCCTGTTAGAACAAAATTCTGTACCTAACCGACATCCAAATGCCACTCTAGGTCAGCCCCTTTTACTCTACACATTCGCGCAAGATTCACCCACCTTTTGCCAAATTCTGATGATGGGAGCCGCCGCCTTTCCGTCCTAATCTTGACTTTAAGCTGATGCTTAAAGTACAAGATCAGTTGGGAAGAGGTGAACTTCTCGCCATCATAGAATTCCTTCTGACGCGTCGTCCAAATCACGACTCGCATAACCCCTAGTAAGCAACAGAACACATAGTGTTCAGCCTTCGTCAATTGCGACACCACATTGCTACAAACAGAACTGGCTTCCAGGACAAAAAACTTTCCCTGCAGCATGCGAACCATGAGGCCTTCAACAAACTTGCACAACGGCACTACCGTCTTGCACTGAAAAAAGGCGTGACCAATGGTCTCGACCTTCCCAGTACAGCGACGACAGTTTGGATATTTCTCCAAGCCTGCTGAACAAAGTCTTTTGCCGACCCAGAGGGCCCCACGAATCATCAGCCAGGTGAGTGATGCCTCATTATTATTGAGACATTTCAACCCAGGCGCCCAAGGCCATATCGAGCGAGCCTCCTGCTTCGTAAGACCGAGCTCGTCGATCAGACCATCTCGAACGGACCCCCTAACTAACAATCGATATAATGCCTTACGAGACAACGCTTGGGCGTCGGAGAGGCCATCCGACGTCCGCAAGAGGAGCTTCAAAGTACGACGACATTCGCGGTAGAAGGAGCACTCGACACGAGGTGTACGGCCGGCCTCCTCCTCACACGAGTGCACACTTCTCAGGGATGGGAAATGTTTTCGGACATCTTCTTTCCAAAAGGTGCCCACCTCATCCAAACCGCGACACATTCGGTCTAGAAAGGTAATGCAAAGCATATATTGACGAATCTCAATGCTAGGCATACCCAGACCGCCCTCAGAGGGATGAAGGCAGCAGATCTCGCGAGATACCATATGGGCCTTGCCTCTCTACAAGAAAGAGAACAAGGCCTTGACTAATGAGATTAGTCGGGCATACGGGAGTGGAAGCACAGAGAGTCGGTACAGGAGGATCGGATAGATGTGTGAAACACATACTTCCGCCCTTCCCTTCAGGGAAAGTCTCCTCCGAGACCACAGATAACCCGCGGCCTCGGCCTTCCCTTTCACCTCCGACCAATTCATTTCCAACTGGAGATCAGGATCGAACCAGACGCCGAGTATCTTGATCGGCCCATCCGTCCAGAGGAAAGGTCCGGTAAGAGAAACTCCCTTCCACGCACCCAACCGCAAGCCACCGGACATCGCGGT